TACGGAGGACATCAACCGGAATTAAGCGGGGAAACTAAAATTTAAATTCCGGTTGGAAATTTACAATAAATAGTTCAAATAAAAACAAATTATTAAAAAATAAATTATTAGAGAAATGAAAGTTGGACGATAGGGATAAAAGGGAAGGAGGACTATTAAAGGTCTTGGAGTTGCACTGTGGAGGGAGAAGGGAACTTCATCCAAAAGACCTCAATAGGGACGGCTAAAGGAAAAGGGCAGCCTGGGACAAAAAAGGAATAATGTAGTCAGGAGGACTGGTTTGAAGGATATGGTGAAATTGATCGAGGTCCACTATATCTGGACCGACACAATAATCCTCGTCTGTAAGAGGGACAGGATAAGGGGGAAATTGATTTAGGAGGTACCTGTACCAGGCTTCTCTGTCCTGGTCTTCGAAAAAGGACTCCGACTCTCCTTCGGGATCGGAAGGTTCAGGTTTTAAATCTTCCGGTTCTGTTTTGAGATCGGGACACTCTTCTACGAAGTCTATTGAGAAAGAAAGGAAATAGAACGATTCGGAGGGAATTGTCCTAGAAGTAGAGGGAGAAGATTTTCGTTTAGGGCCTGGCAGCTAAGTATAAATGCCAATCATGATATTACACCAGGATCCTGGCTAATCACGCCTAGGGACTCGTAAAAGGGGAAGGATTGCTTAAGTCTAACAATAAGCTTGAATGCCAATCTTGATAGTGTTCAAGATCCTGGCTAATCACGCCTAGGGACTCGTAAAAGGGGAAGGATTGCTTAAGTCTAACAATAAGCTTGAATGCCAATCTTGACAGTGTTCGAGATCCTGGCTAATCAAGCTTACGGACTCGCAAAGGAGAAAGGATTGCTCGAGTCTAACAATAAGGATGAATGCCAATCTTGACACTGTTCAAGATCCTGGCTAATCAAGCTTATGGACTCGCAAAGGAGAAGATTCAAAGAAGAGGAAATATAAAATATTTAATAACCAGAATTTAATTTAATAATAATACTAATAAATGTGTGTGCTTGGATATTACTTGAAAATGTGAATTTAATAACAAACTGTTTCTATTAAGAGAAAGGAAAAAGTAAAGTAAGAGAAAAGTAGAAAACAAAAAATGAAATTCTTTGGTAGACTCACTACTTGTTGTGTGCGAAGGTGATGAATTTAAAAATTTCGCTGGATAAGCGAGCTAAGGTCTATCTCGTGGACTCGGCTGTGCGGAAGGGGTGGCTCGGAGATCGCTCGGTTCCGGCGTGTTCGTTCGATCCCTCAAGGGCACACCACTTGTCACTTGCCCGCACGAATTTTGTAAAATTTCAATAGCGTGAAACTCCTTGCACTACCACAATCGCAGAGAGAACTTGCGAGAATCGATAAACTTTTAAAGACTTAAATAATCAGCGCGGACTGTAGGCAGACTCGGTGCGACCGTTCGAGTACAGACTCGGTCGAGTCGAGAGGCGAAGATGAATTGAATTTTCTGAGGGAGGATTTCGCGTAAGTCGAATCTTGGCGTCTCTTCGCGTACTTCGCGTACCAGGCAAGCAATATTGTTTTTTAACGAATCAATCTTTAAAATGGTGCCCCTCTCATGAGTTGAGGGCGTCTCCCTTCCAAAAGAAGGTCCAAGAGTTTGCGCCTATTGGTGTAGGCTTTTGTTTTTAAAAATTAAGTCTCGCCCACTGGAGAGTCCGCCATGATCGGCCAAGTTGACAGTTTTATTGTTCACTTGAGTTTTATCTCAAACAGATAACGCGCAAGGGTGGTCTAGCAGGCGAGCACGTAGTGTCGAATGTCGCGAGTTTCAGTCGCGGATCATAGTTACATAAATAAGATAACACTCTAGTTCTTAGAAGGGCCTTTATTCGAGACTCTTCCCGTAACGCTTTTTCACTAGAGGACTTCCAAGAAAAAA